TATTGCTGATGCATAGCCATTTAGCAATACATAAATGATTGTGCTACAAGTGGAAAAAGAAAATAGTGCCAACGAGAAGAAAGAAAAAGAAAACAGAAATCACTCATATAAATCTATGATTTATTATGAAGGTTAATTGACTTCATTTCAACTGGGAAGTATTTTGAGAGGATTCCATTTCTATGATTTTAACTGAAATTGGGTCTTTTTTGAGAAAGATAGGATGAGAAATTGTCCTGTGAGGTATGGTCAAATAGTCCCTTGGGAAGGAATCATCCAACTTCTCCTTTCTCACCATCATTCCAGGGCACCGTTTAAATTATTCAATAATGCACTCTTCTGGCAGAGATTGTTTATGAGGGGGAAAAAAATGAACTAGAAAGCTTCAACTCGGCTTAACTTAAATGTCACATAAAACCAGTTCTTGCTTATACACTCTGAGTAAATAGCTGCCGGGTCTCTTAGCAGCCAGAGCTAGCTGCATACTAGTGGAGGGTCCCTTTGGTGCTCTCAGAACTTTCTTTTAACTTTGAGGCTAAATAGTACTTGGGTTCTTTCTATTGAGAAAATGCTACCTATAAAATTATGGTTTGAAGACTAGCTATTCTTGAATGAAAAAAAAATCCCACATATCTACAGCAAGTAAAAGCTATATTTTAAAATTGGCCGATTTCATCTTTTATGTATACACATTACATTTGTTTCCTCAGGCTGTCCCACAGTGTATTCAATCTATGATGAGCTTTGTTTCTATCAGCTGGTGTCAGAACACCAAAAATTACCTCTTTGAGAATGCATAGGGATTCTACCAGTGGGCCCACCTCAGGGTCCTAGCAGCTACTCCGTTCCTGGGACCTCTGCTGCCTCTGCTACTGCTGCCCACCTGGTAGAGAGAAGGTGGTGTTGAAATTATTCAGCCACTTGGACAGAGGTTTCTGGCCATCAGAATGGACACTGGCTGCAAGAACCAGTTCAGGCATGCTGATGTGTGCCTGCTAAAGCTCTGCCTGTGCAGGTGGGCCCCAGGGCTTGGCTGGCTGTTCCTGGGCTGGCCATATCCATGTTTGCCAGGCCCTGCCAAGGCCTGTTTGCCTCCTGCTGCTGTCGTTGGGAGGGGTCTGTGGCAAGAGACAACCTCTCTGCCTCTCTGGGTGACGTGTCCTTAGAGAGCAACAAGAGCACTGCTCCTGCTGCGTGTGCCAAAAACCACCACCGGGAGTTTGCGGAGTTTTCGGTGAAACAAATCCCACCATGTTTGTTTAGTGCCTTCTCCCTTTCTGAGAGGCCCCAGAGGGGTAATTTGCTCCAGGCTCCTCGTCATGCAAAGTCTCAAATTTAGACTTTTGATGTGATTTCCAAGTTTAAATATACAGTCTTAGAGAGGTGCTGACTGGACTAAAGAGGGAGATGTTTATCTTTAAATCTGATCTCATTACCAGACACGAGAAGCTCTAGTTCTTCATAACTTGACATGGCTATAAATCCTGTCATTTTCTTGGGAATATCATGATACACACAACAACTTGTTGCCGTTACTATCAGTCACCTGTTTGTTCATTGCACATTTTTAAAGAATTAACAATTTTTTTTCACAGGTTTTGGCATTTGCGTGTTTAATATATAGAAAGCCTGGGAAAATGGGGATGACCTAACTTCTCACAAGCTCTGAGAGGCCCTGGCTCCAGGCTGGCTCTGCCCAAGTTAACTGACCTGTTGTTAGAATCCTGCTTCCCACCACCAAAGCTCTATTGTCAGGCAAGCTGGTTGGACTGACTTTCTCTTCCCTGGGGATGAGTTTGTTCCCAGAAGTCTCCTCCATCTCTCTGACAGGAAGACTTCCTCTGTGCTGGACTGAATTTAAGGAGGCCCAGTTTAAGCTAGACCTAAGATAACAGCCCTCAGTAGGAGCCAATCTACGACGATATCTAACATACCGATCATCCCTCAGCTTCCAATGGGAATTCACAGGGTGTTTGAGAACAACTGCTGAAGAGTTTCCTTCTGTTATTTCTTAAGTTCCTGACTGAGGCATCTTCTGAGAGAAAAAGTGCAGCCCTTTCAGGGGGGTCCAGGAGCCCAGTTCTGGGTATTCTAGGTTCCAGGGTGTTCTCTGAGGTGCTGAGGACTTGCACTCAAACAACAAATATTGCTCTTGGTTTTTGACTTTGGGGACAAATAGAAGAGGAAAAGGCAGTGTTAATGTGGGCAAAAGAAGACTTAAGGGAACTCTCTCTCTCTCCCTAGGAGACATCAAAGCTCTGGGCCACCAGGTCAGTTCCACATCAGCCTCTGCGTGGACTTGGGTCAATGGCCCATCATTTGGCCCCACGTTCCTTAGATGTGAGATTCTCTGGTGTGTAGTCTCTCACTTTCTCTGCATCTGCTGTCCACTCTGGGTACCAGGATTTCAAATTGAACTTGGCACTGTCCTAGAAGATCAATTAGAATAGGTCCATGAACACTGAAAATTGTGCTAACAATGTACCACTTTGAGTCAGAGCTTCTTGAAAATGAATTAAGTTCATTAACTTCTAGTCGTTGGAACAAAGCATTCTTTCCAATTAAGAGAGTTGGCCACGGAAGACCTGCCAAAATGTTTCATTATGTGTAATCGTATTAAGGCGGACTTGATGGTGGAGCTTAGGATTTTCATTTTGTTTTGTTTTTCAGTATCTCACATGATTTAATCACCTCGTCCTGGGTTATATAACTCATCCCTCTTTGTGATTGATTTTTTCCCATCTAGGAATATAGAAAAGTTGCTATCTTCAAATATAGAAATATGATGATAATTACTGAGCATATTCTATTTTTTATTGGTGTGTTATAGTTGTACATAGTGGTGGGATTCATTGTTTCATATTTGCACATGCACACAATAGAATATAATTTGGCCAATATCATCATTCCCCAGTGTTACCTCTTTCCCTCTTCTCCTTTCCTCTGTTCCCAAAAGGACAGAGCAACAGTCTCTATTTGACTCATCTCCCTTTGGTTTTCATGAACTGAGCATTTTTTTTAAATCCTTTGAATTCCATGGGTGAAAGAAATTATGGAAAATTAACCTGCAAAGAAGCTAAGATGAGTATTTGACAAATATTATTTCATCCAACCTCAACATCTTCATTAAAGATCAATATTAAGGAATGGAGATGCTAAATGACTTGTCAAAACCGTACAGCAAGAATGCACATTCATTCATTAACACATAGATGTGTATAATTTCTTATGAGTGCCAAGAGATGTTTAAGACAAGTTAGGAAAAATTACAAAAGTAATAATAAGAGATTATGTATTCATCTCAATCTAAACTACATATAACATAGATCAAATCTGTATTCATCTGAGACTTTAGGGAAACATTTAGGCTTCTCTTCTAGATAACCGAGGTTCATTTAAAATTAAACTTGAACACCAATTTACAGCATTAATTTATCACTTGTCTACAATTGCACTTGAGGTTAAATTATGAGCATGGAGTCAATTTTTACAAGCATAAATACCCATCGCCTTCTTGGGGGATAATTACAAACTTGTACAACATCAGCTGTTAAGGTCTACCATGCTTTCAAAATCATATCAAAATTAAGTAATCAATTTTTCATGGTAACTAGCCCCTCCTGGACAGAATTACTTTTCATTTTTGTGATTTTATCACTGACCCCACTTGGCTGTCACCATCACCTGGGCTTCTTCTGTTGTCTACACTGAAGCTCAGTTTCTCTGGGATTTAGAGAAAAGAACTGTTAACTCTTTCTCTTGACCCCCATTATCCTAGCACAGATTTTTTTCTTGCCTGCTCTTAGGAACTTTGAATGAGCTAGCAAAGTCTTAGGGAAGGGACAGCTTTGTTTTAGAGAGGGTGAGGCCATTTTGAAAAATGGCCCCAGCTCTCCCTTCTAGCTTGAGTAAAAGTGGGAAAGCAAGAGGAAGCTGAGCATGGACCAAGACAAGGAATAATGACAGTTTCTTCATTCCTGAGGAGGCGCCACTTCACCTTGGTGGGAGGGTATGTGGACTCTATAACAAAGCCAGGCAAACCCATAATATAAAAAGCGAATGTAGACTTATTCCAGGGTGATAGGCAAATGCCTTGTATCATTTAGCATTTTAGGTTACTGTTGACATTTCCATAGGTAACTGGGACTATTATACAAGGATAGAAAGAGCAGGGCTGAAGAGAGCAGTAGGAAGGAAAGAATCACTTGTCAATGATTTTATCTTATAGTACAATCAGTCTCTATTCCTTTGCAAACTAAATGAATGGGAAGAGGTGGCCAGAAGTGTGCAGTGTATTTGTGGAAATTGTCAATGTGGAAGTAAAGAAAAGCATTTGGGTTAGCAAAGACCACTTTTCGAAATTTCACCTCCCTAGGGAAAAAGTATTCCACAAACTTCAGTTTGAAAGACTAGTTTTAAAGAAAGAAGGAACAAGCTAAGTAGGGGGTTCAGGCTTGGGATAACAAGTTCAGAACAAATATGAAAGGAATTTTAAAAGAAAGTAGTGTTCATTGATTACATAACTAATAATTTTTATGAACCCCACTTTAAAAAATTGATTTTTTAAAAGGGTGCTTATAATGCTCGCTTGTTTATGTATTGTCCTTTTGCAACAATAAATGAAAAATGTATGTGTGTTTACAAGCGAAGTTGTTGACCAAACTTTTCAAAATGAAAAAGATTTATACATTGTGTTGTGTAAACACAACTGATGGAACCCATCATACCAGCAGTGGGTATGTAACTCATTATTTTTTTTTTTTTAATTTTTACCAAAAAAAAATCCTAACAAGACTTCGATCCTCGCTTTACAGCTCTAGGTCATTCCGCGTCCCACCAGATACTCTCCCCGTTGTCCACGCATCCAGCGCGCTCACGCGCGCGCGCACACACACACACACACACACACACACACGCGCGCGCTCGCGCGCACCTACACGCACACAAACGGACAGCTCGCCCCTCTGGTCTGTCACGCGAGCCCAGCCTTCCCACTTTACCTCCCGAACAGGCAGGATGCCGGCCGCCGCTGGCTCCGTAGCTGCCATCCGTCTCCGCCTCTCTCCCCTTCTGGTTCAGCAGATTGGGGCCCTCTGTGTTTTCAACAGGTACCATGGCCACGTAGAGTTACAGCCTCTTCCTCGCCAGCAGACTACCCCGACCTCCCCCGTGGACAGGAGTGGTCACTTGTCCCATGGTAGCATGCTAAAGAAGAGTGAGGGGGGAAAAAAAAAAAAAAAACTTCGGGCAAAGCCAATGTGATTTGTGACCAACTTTGTTTCTATTTCCGAAGGCTTTGCCCTTTTCGGTGACACAGGCTGTTGCTATTCCAAGCAGCCTATCACAGCCAGGGGGAGGGCCCCGTCTCCAGGGTTGTTTTTGCCTTTAGATGCGGACTTGGAAGCAAGAGGTTAAAAGACTCTGGGACTGGACTCAGACACAGTGTTTGGCCATTAGCTAGGGCTAGCTCTTGTATGCCTGCACCTTTGAAAAGAGGCAGAGAAAAGAAACAGATTTAAATGCAAGCTGAGAGTAGGGACAGAATAACTCAGATTTTATCAGTTAATCTTGCAGAAGAACAGTTTATGCAAAGACACACCAGAAGGAAAAGTGTGTCAAGTTTTCAGCAAGTCTGTTGTTACAGGAATCATAACACTTACCAACTTAAACAAAGCATAAAACGTCTTTAATATTTCAGCCTAAATTGGGTCTAGGTAAATGTCTTATTTATCTCTCTCCAAGACCTGTCCAACAAATCAAGTCTTGCTACCAATTCAGAATACATAGATTCTTTAGACTTATTATATCCTGAGATTATAACAAAGTAGCTTTTTAACGTGTAACTGTCTTTAAGAGAGGCACTAATCCTGAATCTTCTGTCAGGTTGCTTGATTACTTGGATAGGAGGATACTCCTAGTTGGGGAAGGCTGGCTGGTGGAAAAAATCCATTGTGTGGGTGTGATGGTCATATAATCTGAAACAAATCAGAGTGTGTGAAGGGAGGTTTGTTTTTCTTATTCATGCAAATATATATTAGTCTTTCAGAGCTATGATTTTTTTTTACCTTTGGTATACATTTAGCAAATCATATTTATTGAAAATTTTATAGAGGAACCTAGGATTATTTTAGAAAATCATTCTGAATGAAAACTAAAATATACCTAATACATATGTGCCAGAAATAATGCTAAGTTCATTCAAATGATTCTTTTGAAAAAAATAAAAACTTGTGAGGCATGTGCTACTATTACTGAAGAGAAAACGGAGGCTGAGTAACTTGCCTCTTCTTGACCTTAAGAAGATGCCCTGAAGTGTGATCAATAGTCCTAGTCACTCCTTTGCACAGGGAACCAATCCATGCTTGTGTAGGCAAAAGATGACTGTCTTTGCTTACTTTCCACATTTTTACTAGATCACCACCAAGCTCTTCATTAACACCATTTTTTAAAATTCTTTCTGATCACTAGATATTTTTGTAATTTTCGTATCCTTTAGGGAATCAGACACATCTGCTGATAATGCAGAAAAACTGAAGTCCTTCTAGTGTGGCCCAGGCCTGTTCTGATTAACAGGGTAGAAGTACAAATCCCACACATCAGCTTGTCCCCACTGAACAACAACATCAACAACAACAATGCTTAGACAAGTGCTTTAATTTGTTCCTAGGGTGTGTGATGATGGTAGGAGCAGGAGTTTTTAGTCTGTGAGACACACGTATTTTTTATCAGTTCTCCATCTTCTCTTGAGTTCTATCTTCTCTCTGCTTGGAACCAGTGACCTTAGTGCTGGTATGGGGAGACAATGTTCTTGCTGTGGGTGAGTCATATAATTGCTTTGTTTCATGACCCTCAGGACCCGTGTCTTTAGCAATTTGTTGGCAAGGTGGAAGTGTTGGACTGTTTGTTATAACAATTGAGTAGGCACGAGATAAACCTGATTCCAGATTACCAAATCATGCTTAGGAGGGATTCAAAAATTCTCCTTTTGCTTCCTGTAGCTGAACTATACAGGTTCTCCATGGGTATAAATCAATCAGAAGTTAAGAGAAATAACGAATTGTGACTGACCATATCGTCCATAGGTACACCTAATTCTCTTCCTTTTCTATTATTGTTGGCCCGACAAGGGCCACTGGCTATCTCAAGCATATTTCATTCTCTTAACTCAGAGAAAAGTTTAGAGGCGGGACATTTCTTTCTTCCAAACAAAAGAGGGACATTTTCTCTAAATCCCTTCAAGACCCTATACTCCTTCCCAGAAATTTTCATACTTCTAACTTATTATAGTTACATACAGTGATTTGATTGCATCTATATTCCTTGCTAGATCAAAAGCTCCAAGAACGATGGACCAGGCCCATGTGGTTTACTGTAGCATCCCAAGTGCCTTGTACAGAAAAAAAATTATTGGTAAATATTCCTGGCTCTGTTAGGATTCATATAAGAATACTCCAAAGCTTAGTCCTGTGGCATGCTGGGTACTTTGAACAGAAAGTTTAAAAGGAAAGGCATCAGAAGCAATGTTTCTTTGACCTTCTTCTGCCCTCCTACCTCCCACCCCCCCTCATCCTCCCATAAAGCAAGTGATAGAAATCAGAATTCCTGTTCCTCAAGGTGGTGATAGAAACTAGAATTGCTTTTTTTCCAAAGTAAGCTGTAAAATCTAAAAAGGTTGCACTCTGTCCCTTTTTCCTTGAAAAGGGTCCTGCCCCACAATCAGTAGGGAGGAATACTACATGGAGAGGCCAAGAAGAATCTGGACAGGCTATGCTGTGATTCTCCACTCATTTTATTATGATGAGATCATATTCTTTTGTCCATTCATATTTTATAGGCATGTCCATTCTTCATCAAACCTAAACATAAAAATGAACAATTTTATCTGGGTCTTTGGGTCTTATTTCTGAAGTCTTATATGTCATGCAAAAGTTTGATTAAATTTATTATGCTTTTCTCTTGTTAATCTGACTTTTGTTATAGTCATGCCAGCCATTACCCTTATGATAGGGAAGGAGAAATATCTCACATTTCTACCCCTTCAGCTGACAGACTGATGCAGTGAACTTTATCATTACTAGAAAGTGAGCTCCAAGTGGACAGACACCTCTGTTTGTATGTGTGTGTTTGTGTGTGTGTGTGTGTGTGTGTGTGTGTGTGTGTGTGTGTATGTTCATCTGTTTCTTTATCCACAGTTTCTAGGACAATATCAGGGTTTTTTTTAAATAAATGATTGCTCACAAAAGGAACTTTTAATGAACAAATAACTCTTTAGATTTTTAGTATCAAAACTCATGTGATGATTGCTAATGATATTTCGTCTTTCCTCTCTCCTTTCTGTCCACCTCTTTAAAGCACGTATCATCACCAAAAGTCACTGCAGTTGGAGCTACTACCATCATTAAAAGCTATTTCTCCACTCAAGGAACATATAATCAGCCATCAGCAGACAGCTCATTGCTCATAACCCCCCAAATTTAGCTACATACCATTTTAGCCACTGCTCATAAGCAATGCTATCAAATCCCAAAACACTCATTGTGACTTAAAATTAACAAAGCAGTGAACTAAGTGCTTTGCTTTATTAAGTAAATACTATTACCTCCTTTTGAAGAAATCAGAACTAAGAAGCTTATGAAACTGATCCAAGATCAAAAGACATTTTCTAATGTTTGATTATGAAAATTTTTAGTCACAGAGAAAAACCTAGCTGCTATAACATTTTACTGTGCTTTCCCATCTACCTACCTACTGACTCTTCTGTTTATCTATTGATCTATATTAGTTTTTATGTATTTTAAAGCAAACTGGAATACTTAGCATTAACTAGAGATCAATATTTGTTTAGATTTATGTACTTTGGAGGGGGCAAGTTTTACCTAAAATGCAGAGCACAAATCCTCAGTTTACCATTAGATGTGTTCAGAAAGCACACATACATGTACCATCCAAATCCCTCTTACATTACAGAACTTGACTGTTATCCCAGAAAGTTCTTCATGTCTCCTGTGTCAATTTTACTAACCTCTAGAAGTGACCAAATATTCTAATTGTTTTCTACATAAATTGCCTTTCCCTGTTTTAAAGTTTCATGCAATAGAACTGTTGAGTAATTACTCTTGGGTAAGACTTCTTTCATGGAGCATGATTTCAGATTCATCATGTTTTTGTGTATACTGGTACCTTATTCTGTCTATTGCTAAATGATATTCCATAGGTGAATATACCAAAGTTAAGCCTTTCTCCTACTGATGGGTGCCTGGACTGTTCTACCTCAGCTATTATAAATAAAGCTGCTTATGAGCATTCTTGTGCAAATCTTTTTGATGAACATAATATTTCAAAGCACAGCAGTCCAAGTCTGTTTGGTTCCAACCCTACATGCTTTCCATTACACCCTGCTGCTTCTCTGCAGTGCACTATATTTGTGTGGAATGCATCTCCTGAGGTTTTATTCCAGAAGTGACGGGTTCACAGTGCAAACACAAATGGGTAAATCTGATACTTAGGTAAATAAACAAAATAGTCAGATACAAATTCAATTCTGTGTTAGCTATATTCCAATAAAATACCAGAATATGATTGAATAATATGTATTTTTTTCATCTATCTATGCTATTTAAATTACTCTCTAAAGGTTTTTAATGTGACATTTTTTCCTATATTTCAAATGGTGCCAATCATAATATAATGATTAAAGTTCCTAAAATTCTAAAATAAACTGAAACTTGTTGGCACATGCCTGTAATCCCAGATATGTAGAAGGCTGAGGCAAGGGAACCATGAGGCCAGCCCGGACAATTTAGCAAGGCCCTGTCTCAAAGATGAGAAATTATATCCCATCTATGTATGATATATCAAAGTGCATAAATGCATTCTACTGTCATGTATAACTAATTAAAACAAATTTTTAAAATTTTAAAAATAAAAATAAAAAGAGTCAGGGATGTAACTCAGTGATAGAGGAACCCAGATTCAATCCCCAGTACCAAAACAAACAAATAAATAAATAAATCACAGTTAAATTCTTTTTATGCCCATTGGATGTAATATTATATGTCATTAAGTGAGAAATTTGTAGAAATGTGATAAAGTGTTATTTCTATTATTTTAAGTAGAAAAACCATTGGAAAATTACATACTCAATGCTATCACAACATTTAAAAATATATATGTATATTGTTTGAGTCTGGAAGGGAATTTGGAAAAATTGAAAATAATTGATACATTGGGGTGGCAAATCATATGTAAAAATACTCAGTTATAAAATGTTTGCTTGCTGAGGGTATAGCTCAA